ATTTTACAAAATATAAATAAAATAATTTATCTATTATAGTAAAATTTTAAACTATTATTATATTTAAAAAATATATACTTGTATATATTACAAAATTTTTTTGAATCAACTCAAAATTTTTTGGGATAGTGTAAGATTACTAAATTCGCTAAATTTGATTGATTAATTTACATATTTCTATAAGTTAATTTAATTAATAATTTTTATATCTAATCTTTAAAAAATCATATTTTATTAAGTTTTAAATTAAATTTAATGATTTTATTATTATTAAAATCAGAAAAACCTGTTTTACAAACTTTTTTTATAAATTAATATTAGTTTACTTAGTATAACTTTTTATAAAATTAAATATAAAAAAAATTTACAATTAAATTTATATATAATTTTAATATAGTACCTTCTGCTTTTAAACTACTATATCTTTGTAAAGTTTATACAATCTTAGTACTTCTTTTTATAATCTTATTAGTACTTTGTATACCTTTACAAGTTCTTCTATACTGCTAATTTAGTTAACTTTATATAATATGACTTCATGCCAATTTAACTAGTAATCAAATTGATAAACCTCTTTATTTAAAGTTTTTGTTTATACAGATTATTTGCCTTAAGTTTTTTTTTCTAAATCAAGTTTTTTACAAGTAGTACTGTTAAAGATTATACTATCTCTTTACTTGGAATTTTCAAACAGAACTTTTTATAGAGTATATACTTTTTGAATTTATTCATATAACATTACACATTATCAAAATTAGTCTTAATACAATAAGAATTACAAAGTTACAACTTTAAATATTCTAATCAAGTTGTCAGAATAAAACTATTTTTTAAAATTCTACTGCCAATAGGATTTGAACTCTATATCTACTGCTTAAAGAATGATAATCCAACCACTACACTAGAACCATCATCTTTTTACAATTTTATTTAATAGTTTAATAAAATTTTGTAAAATTTTTTTTTAAAAAAATAAATATTATAAGTTTTATATATGTATAATTTCCAATTTGTACTTTTTATTTTTAAAGCCAAATACATTTATATAATGATTTACATATTATATAAATTGTATTATTGATATTTATGTAATCCGTTACATCAAAAAAGTAACTCTAACTGGTACCTGACTTTAACGTTTTCTCCAAATTTAATAAATTTAATAGATTACTTATTTGGGATAAATGATGTACATCACTTATTATTACATATAAACAAACCGTAAAAATCAAAAAAATTGGCCAACTTTGTAACCAAGATTCTATTTTTGATCATCCTTAAAATTTCACAAAAAAAAGAATCTTCAAATGCTAAATAATTTACGAAATTATACCCAGAAATTAAACCGAAAATTGCTTTATTATCAAATAAGCTTAGAAAAAACAAAATTTGCCTAAATTTTTTACATATAAAATTTAGGTGCGTCGATCATTTGATCTCATATTAACCAATTTACACACATGATCTGACCATATGACAAGTGTGACTAAATACCACTACCATTGGCGATAACGTGTTATTGACAGTAAAATAGGAAATTTCATTTTGTGAATAAATTATGACGAAATATTTTTTTGTAAAATTTAGTAAATCGATGATTTTTATAGGTAAAAGGCATGGTTTTGTGAATGTAGTACAAAACAATCTGATAAGTTAACATCAATAGGAAATTGGGCGTCAAAAATAAAAAAAGTCGGTTAAATCGGTTTAATTTCCAGTACATCGGAATTTTCTAAATGATTTAATTAATGACATACTGCGTGATTCAATTATGCGCATTTCTCGGCAATGTCGGAGTTATACAGAGCCGTAATAACAATAACATTACCATAACATCACCAATAAAAGAAAATTCTATTTCTGCGCACATATATGTCAAATAGATATCATCAGCCAAATTATTTATTTTCTATTTGTTAGATCAGATGGTATTTTCTTTATTCAAACATAATTTAATAGATAATCAAAAAAAAAAAAAAGAAAAAGAAAATTGATTATAAATCAAATCTGATAATTATGTTTATTTATTTTACCCCATATTTTGCTTAATTTGGGATAAATATTTATTAGCCAAAGTGCTAAATTACTTTTGTTTACGGCGGTGTACGTTGTTCGAGGGTAAAGGATTGGTGATTTAAATCATACAGTTTAGGCTATGTTCTCATCAGTCATACCCTAAACTTGATGAGTCTGAGTTCTGGCATTTGCTACTATTAGATGTAATATATATCATTTAAGAATCTTGCATGCTAGTTACAAAACTTTTATTGAAGAAAAGGCGGAACATATGTTCCGCAGTGGCACAATTTAATGTTGGACATGTATCAGATGATACCACGAAAAAAGTGTAAAATATGACAGGGGTGTTTATTTATTGAAATTATTCCCGCCATAAGTTGACACTAATTTATCCCGCATACCAGTTTGCATGAAAGAATTAAAGAACACCTCGTGTTCTTGAATCAGGTGATTAATTCATCTACAATGATTTCCATCTTGCATGTGTATTAAAAGTGATATCTTGTTTTTTTGATTATCCGATTAGCATATATATTCAATCCGATCATCAATATTGAACGGACTACACAGTATGAATCATTGACATGAGAAATCGGGAATAGCCGTCTACCACTCATAATTTGTTAAAAAAAGAGGTGACTTGTCAGAAACGAATCAGAAACGAATCAGGAACGAACCAGAAACTAATCAGAAACGATTAGGGTTTTCATTATTTTAAAAAGACATTCCTTTTTTTCTATACAATCTTTGAAAGTAATTTCTTAGAATTGATTCGATTTATTCAAAAGATTAAATGTGTAATAATAATAATTTGTATTTGTATATAATACAAAATAACAACTTAAAGACCATTTATTATTTATATGAATTATATATTAATAACGTGAAATCATATTTATTTCTTAATATTGTTACCGATTCCAAAATTCAATCCGAATTCGTTTTTAAAAAAAAAAAAAAAAAAACAAAGCGTCAAAAAATTGGTGATACGAGAAAAACCAGTTTTTTGAATTTTTCTATTTTTTTTTTTTTTTTTTTTTTTTTACGTTACTTTTATATATTAATAAAGGAAAAAAAATGTACAAATTAACGAGAATGGAATATAACTTTTTTGTTTTTTTGTAAACAAAAAAAAAAAAGCGAGGGTGGTGAAAAAAATTTACAAATCTATTCAAAAAAAAAATGCTAAGAGGATTATTCACAAAGAATCAAATGTTTTTTTTTTCGTTTAGGTATATGTATTTATAAAATGTCTTTTTTTTTTTTTTTTTTTATAGTATTGTTATCGTTATCGTTGCTTAGGAACATGATTTATTATAATTAAAAGGTTATTAGTGCGTGTTGTTCTTGCGATTCAAGAAAAATAAAAAATCGTAAAAATTTAGTCGGAAAAAAAATATTGTCATAAAGAACTATTGTAAAAAAATAGTTCAAACAATGCATGCTTAATTGTTAAATCTTTTTTTACATGATAATTATGACTATTGAATTATAAATTTGAATATTAGTTTGGGAAGCGAGGGAAGTATAAATCATTACGCTAATTTTAAAAAATGTAAAGTGAAATCGAATACGGAAACATACGAATATTTTCGATAGGGGAGTATGTATATCGCCTACAGACCCATGTCGCGGAACATATAATTAGAGTATGGATACGAAAATTAGATACTTTAGTATTTCCTATGGAGGATCCGAGTTTTGGTTTGTTGTCGGATTTTATAATTTTTAAATAAAATGTTTAAAATCGACTATTGTTTTTTTGTTTTTTCTTTCTCATTTTTTTGTGTTCTTTCTCATTTTTCTTCCTTCCTCCTTTGCTTACTTTTTTTTATCATTCGTATTTTGTTACATATTGTGAATATTGATCAGTTATGGGATAATCTAGCGAAGCAATTTGACCATTATAATCATATTCATCAAATTCAACATCAAAGGATGCGAAATCGGTTGGACAATTATCATAAGTATTCTGAACATAGGAAAATTGATGTGGCATGGAATTATCGATAAAACCAAATGTTTCTTGTTGAGAAGTATTTGTTGGACTTGCATAGAACATATGATTATCAAAATCACCATTTGTTCGGAAAGATTGTTGATTTTGCATTGCCATCAATTGAGAGTCAGAAAGATAACCATCAGAATCGTTTAATCCTGAAGGGATACGTCTAGATCCTGAAATCTTGTTATCTACAAGTAAATTATGTGGTAAGCCAGGAGCAGAGACACGTCTGGTTGAAGCATCTCGTGAGGAGGTAGGGATTCGTCGTTTCCTTTCCTGAGGACGTCTGGGCCTATATCTATATTCAGGGTATTTTTTCATATGTTCTTCTTTTGCAGCTTCAGCCATTTTTTGGAATTTGAGGCGAACTTCTAAAGGTTCTTCATGCCACATCCTACCAATTTCCTTAGATACATCATTATTAGAAATTCCTTGATGTTGAGCAACGATTTGTGGTTGTTTGGCACGACGGTATAAAATAAAAGCGTTTGGAGGTCTTGGAGGTTTCTTGATTTTACCATTTTTACCATTTGCGGAATTGTCTTTCTTTGAGCCAGCAACACCGCAAGGGAGAGCAAAGGATGGAAGACGAACATCAGAATCTGGAAGCATCCTTGAAACGTTAGGAGCAGATGAGACAGGTTTAGAATTTTCCAATAAGTTTGTTACAGCAGAAGCTTTAGAGTCATTTGGAACCAAAACGGGTTCAAAACCATCAGGGATAAAATAGAAATGACCCTTTCGTTGTTCATAGAGATCTTGAACTCTATCGTAAGACACATATTCAAAATGAGGAAGTATCCCACTCTTTGGAGAGTCAGGAGTCAATTGAGATTCATCCTCGTGTAAGGAATCATCGACGCAATCAACTTCTGGTTCAGTACAATTATTGATTATAGATTGATGAACGGTGGGTATTGAAGAAGGTTGGATAGCAGGAGCCATATTTAATTGTTGCATTTTAGTAAGAGGGTAATTTAGTCTCGAGGCGTGATGTTCAGCTGACAAGATATTTGAAGGTTTGATAACAGCTATTGACATCAGAGTTTTGTTTTACAAGAATATTTTTCAAAAAAATATGAAAGCAAGAAAAATTTCGATGTTTTATATATTTGCGTTGAATTTTTTTTTTATTGAGTAAAATGTATATTTTATATTCATATTTAAAATAAGTATATATAAAATATTTAAAGTAATCAATATAAAAAAAGAAAAAAAATATATAAAGTAACAATATAACTGTGATATAAAATTTTTATCACAACATTGGTGCAGCATATTTCCTAATTTTGCGATAAAAGCTTTTCCCCGTTCCAACAACTAATGTTCTACATAAGTTATAATAATTATTCTAAATGAAAAAAATCTAAACGCATTGTGTTTTCTAAAGTAAGATTCTTAAATAGTCTGTGTGGAAAAATGTGCTTATTTCCTGAGAAAATTGTTTAACACCCTGCGAGACATATAATTTATATTGTACTCTAGGCAAATTATTAAACTTATCTGTATACCTTGTATGTATATATATATATAATATACGTATATATATATATGTATATCTGATATATATTTATTTATACATATATTACCTTAGTATTATTACCTTAGTATTATTTGTGAGTGAGATAAGTTATCGATTTGACTTGACAAAATTTTTTTAACTATGTAAACTGAGAGACTAGCATTAACTTAGCATTAACCTATCAAAAACGAAGCATTAACCTATCTCTAAATTACCTCTCAACAACATGACGAGACAAAAAATGATCACATCTTGATAGATTTAGCTTGATAGATTTTTTGGAGATGTGGCGGAACAGGTGAGTTATGCATGTTAAAATATTGCCTTTCGTTTTTAGAAGTATCTAGCGGAAAAGAAAAGAAATTTTTATCCTTTTATCGTAGACGAAGCGTAATGATAAGGTATGTAAGTACGTATGGTATTTACAATGAAAAAAAAAAACCAAAACATCACAAATTTTTTTTGTACGTACCGTAACATCATTTCTCTAAAAAAGTTATTATTAATAGTCTTAACGGAACACCAATAACAATCCTAACCTAGTTCATCCAGTTAAAATAAGATAACTTTGTTTTTTTTTGTCGAGATAAATCTCGATCCAAGACACAAAATACTCGAGTTACATGTCTGGCATGTCTGGCGTGTCTAGAAGAAAAAAATTGATACTGTTTGATACTGTACGCACAGCCTTTTTTTTTAATTATGATCAGAGTTTATCCTATAGACTACGTATTAAAATTTTGAAATTTACGTACAAAATAGCATTTATTATTATTAATTAAAAAAATGCTTATCATTCAATTTATCGTTATATCGTTATCATTATCCCATATACATTAACCTTAGCATACATTTAGAGATATTTGATACACAACGGTCTTACTACAAGATTAATTAATAGGAGAGTATATACACATAATATTATATAGTTCTGTAAACGAGTTTTCACTTGCTTTTGACCTCTGGTGTGATTATCCGATATCAAGAATTAAATTTTTTTTTTTTTTTTTTTTTTTTTTTTTTTTAATATGATTTACCAGACATTGACATTGCATGATTTATTTTACCAATAAAATTTTAAATCCAATTAACTTCTTGTTTACTAGATTTTTATCGTTGTGCCCGTAATATTGATATTAAAATTGAAAAAGGATATATAAAATACTTTAATAATGACCACTAGTTCATTTTCTCTGCGTAAAAAATTCTATGTTTTTATTAAAACATACCTTTTTAATACCAAATATTCCCTATATAAGAAAGATATTCTTTTTTAGTGTCCCTTTTATATTCACATCTTAACCAGTTTACATCTAAAAACGCAAAACAGATTGGGATTTTTTTTTTAAACTCAATAGATGGTCCGGTATCAACATATTTTTTTTATTACAACTTTTCTTTTTCCTGCAATGGAATGCAAAATCCGACATAACCTTCCCAATAAATCCACTCATTAAAAAAATATTTTCATTTAATGTTGACGCTCATGATAACCTGATAAAAAAAAATGACCCCACAGTATACACGATTGAAATTAAATCTCGTTTTGATCTAGCTTAAAATTCTTGAATCTCAAGTTAAGCCTATCATCCTTGTTCTAAAAAAAAATGTGTAGTTAAGTGCTAATTGTTGGACGCAGATATTTATTCTGACCTGGCATTTGAGGTTAGGTGTCAAATGAATGGGAAAATATATAATTGGCGATAAAATTAAATATAACGAAATACATATAACGATAAGGGGCACATTGCTTAATGGTTGGATATGGATGCCCTTATTTTTTTGATGTGACCTAATTCTGTAATTTTATCAAGTTTTTTTTTTTATAATAACAACTTTCAATGCAGTTTCAGGATCTGGTTCGAACCCTTACATACATCCAGTATAGCGTGAGTAAAAACGCCCGCCTTGAACGACGATCAAAAAAAAAAGGAAAAAATGTAGTTACCAAATTCTTCTCATGTTCTTAGTCGAGTTTCTATTCAGTAAATTCACATGTCTACTATGAAAATCACTGAATTCATAAATAAATGCTAAGAAAGTAATAGTTATTTTGGTGGCGAGTGGATGTTCACATACGTAAGTACCTCTCGTCATTTAAATACGCCAACCATCATCGTGTTACCACTTTATTACTTTAGGAAAGCTTCTTTGTCAGAAAGCTGTTACGGTTAGCCTGGAGCATTCTGTAAAGTTGCCTATCTACTATAAATGATAAGTCGTTGTACATATATATACCTAGTTTTATTATAAGTTAGTAAATCATTTCGTAATATATTGCATATGACCATACTTAATACCGATACCGATACCATATACTCTTAACGATCATCATGTCATATACTCTTACATACCAATACGTACATACCCTACATAAAGTTGTATTTTTTTTTTTTTTTACAGTATTTCAATTTATATCAACTATATATATGTATATATATGTATATATATGCGTGTTTTATAGCATCGGCATGGAGAATAACGTACACATGATGTTTGTAAATCTCTCATGACTTTTTTTTACATACCAAAATTTTATTAGGAATGAACTGATTTATATATTAGCGTTAAAAATTATATTTTTATTTATTTTATTTTTATATAGGTTATAATTAATGGTTACTATTGCTATCGTTATGTTTAGTAGTACATTGCCTTCGAAAGAAAGCAACGAGAGAAAAAAATTCGAGTTTTTATTCAAGAATCACATAAAAAACTTGAATTTTAAAGTTTATGCTAAGAAACTAGTATTTAGCTCTATAGTCCATAATAACTTGAATATTAATGTTAAAAGCTACACAAATACTGAAATTTTTAGGTTTAGACAATTTAGGAAACAAATTTATAGAAAATTAGTTTCTTTTTAGGGTGAATGTTTTTTTCACTTATTTTTTTTTAAATATTTATTTATGATTATCTTTTATACATTAGGTATATACTTATTATAATTATTATAACGATAACGATAAAATCAAGTAAAATATTGATTACGAATTTTTGTACCTAAGTGCGTCACGGATTAATCTAGCTTGATTTGACATCATTTTTTTTTCTTTTCTAATTTCTAGTAATTCCAAAAAACTATTGTGCGTATCAAATAGTGAAAACCAGAATTAAATCAATAATCTCAAATCTGGGAAACAAGATTTACTATTTTAACCTATCACGAACTTGGAACTTGTTGAACTTTGAGAAAAAAAATTCGGTCTCTAAATTTGCATCTCCAAAATGTATTAAAAATAATTTGCATTAAGAAATTTGGCGGTTTTAATTTCAATTATGCTTAAATTGATTAACAAATATGAAGTTATCGAAACATGTAAGGCAATACATGGAAACAGAATCACTTCCTATTCGTTTCATTTGTAAAAAAAAAAAATGATTGGGAAAAGTTTCAAATTTTATAAAAATAACTATGATAACCGTAAAAACTATCAAATTTTGGGGCTTTGAATAAAGCCTCACTTCCCCCCTTGGCTTACATAATATATTAATGGTTAAGCTTGTATCTTTGAGAGTATTCGATAACTTATCTACGTACAGTACATAAAAGTATTTGTTGCAAGATTTTTTTATAGTAATTTTAGTAATATCCAAACAATCACATTATTGGAAAAAAGGTTAGTGATCTTATTTCTGTCGCTTCTATTCTATTGTGTTGTCTCGTCTCATTGTTGTCTCTTACAGATCAAAGTTTTTTTTTATTTGATCTTATTGACGACAATATAAATGTAATTTGCCAATTAACCTATTTCGGGATTAATTTAGTGTTCATCTTATGTATTAAATAGCCGATTCTCCACACACATTATGACATTTCCGACGCACCATCGATTAAATCGGAAACCGTTATTTTTTGAAGTTTTAAATTGCATAATGCTTCAAATTAAAGTTCTGCAACCATATCCAAACTTAATAATGACATATAATCAAATAGCCGAAAAAAAACAATAATGTTCGATCGATTGTCTAAGTGTTTCGGCTATTTTTGCATGTCATGGTTAAAACATGAATTGTTCAATATCTGTGATATTACGTAAATTTATTACAACTTAATTATGAAAAAATTGTATGTATGTCGATTTATCTATATTCGCAAGACAAAAAACGTTTTTTTTTTTATATTACAATATGCATCTCATTCTATATATTAGCGAAACTTTAATTTTAATTTGATAGCGATAATGATAACGAAAAAAACTCTCCCTTGCATTAAAATCAGCCACATATCACATCTCTACATTCAATAAGTCTACTTTAGACTAAAAAATGGCACTAGGTAAAGTTAGAATAAATCTATTTTAGATTAAAAAATGACACTAGGTGAAGTTGAATAATCTTTGTTAAATAAATTAAATTCGCATCGGTATATCGATATAGCAGTTTTATTATTATTATTTTTTAATTAATAACGTTGAACTTTAATCAAAATATTTATAAATTATAAATTTAATTCAATTTAACTTTGAATATAAATTTATAAAAAAAAAAAATTATTTGTTTTATTTATCAAATAAAATGCACCTATAGTATTTTCGTATATAAGATACAGTACGCCTTTGTTTTTCTATAAGCTTGATATACATGTAAAAAAAAATTTTAGCTTAACTTTTTTACGTTAGGGTTGAACTTAGAACTATATTAGATAATTAGACAGTATTTATACTAATTACTTTGAGTTTTTAAATAGATAAAAATAATTTTTTTTTGATATTTTTTGGAATAAGTTTATAAAGTTTAAGCATAACAACTGATACTATACTAACGTCAAATTACATGTAACTTTTAAAAAATATATTTATAATTAAGAATAAATACGCATGTTTATAACTTTTTAATTAAAAATATTTTAATAATATAAATTGGTATTTATATAAATTTATGTTTTTTATTTATTATTTAGAATTAAATACTGGAAAAAACAGATATAGATAATCAAGTACTAGTTAATATTAAGCTATATACAAGCTATAATCTAAACTAAAAGAAAATAAATAACAAATATCTAGTCACAAAAAGTTTTAAAGCAAAAAAAACTACAAGATTTTGATTTATAAAATAATATAATATAGAAAAACAGAGCAAAAGAACTAAATAGCTTAACAAACAAATTAAAAAACCTATATTAGAAATTCAAATAAATATACTAAGATTTATTTTATAACATTATAGTTTTACTTATTATATATATATTTATACTTAAAATGAAATTTTGCTTATATTTTTATTAATCTGTTAAAAAAACCTTTAGAGGCTTCTTTAAATATAAATTACAACCTTATTTTAATTACAAATTTATTACAAACAAACTAAAAAAAAGTTTATTATTTTCAATCTAAATTTATTAAAAAAGTTAAAACTCATTTAAATGTAATAATATAAATAAAATAATTATAAAATATTTAATATATAAATCTTTTTTTTTAATTTAAACTAGTTTCTTGAAGCTTAAGATTTTTATTTAATATTGTAATATATAGAAACACATAATTATAACCTTAAAAGAGTTACTTTTATATTAGAAAATACAACTAGTTATATATATGGGCTTGGTGTTACAAAAAAAAAGAAATTAACAAATTTTTTAAAATTTATTTTTAAGTATAAATTAATTTAGAATAAGATTAGAATTATTTTTTGCTTAAAATACAAAAACAATTGTCTTAATAAAATCTTGCAAAATAGCTTTTTGAAATTTGTATTTTCTTATAATTTATTATAAAATTTATAACATAAAAATTAATTTTTCAAAGATCTTTTTTTTGTTAATTTCTTCTTTTTCTGTAGCATTAAGTCTATATATATATACTTTTAGTATCTAATTTAAATAAATTGCTTATACAAGTTCTATATTAGTTGTTATATTTGCAATTTAATTATAAATATTATCTATTTAAACTTTCTGTACTACAATTTCTACTGTATTACTAAAACATCTTTGATATATATTAGTTAAAAAGTTTTAAATATTTATTTATATCTTTAAGATATTTATTTTGTTTTATGTAATTAATTTTTAAAGTATTATTACTAAAGTCTTTTATATTTTA